ACCCAAGTCTGAGCAAACCCAAGTCTGGTAGTCCTGGCTCATCTGAGCAGCTGATTGGGGGCTGAACTGGTTTCCAGTCCTTTGAATTCACCCTCCCACTGATCTTCCCGTTGTCTGAGGGATTTTGGGCTCTGTCTTTTCAACACTTTCAGTTGTTGGGATCAAATATTTTCATTGTCATATCAACTCATTCCTTATTTCTGTCACATCCCATCATCACCCATTTATTTTCATATCAAATCATCACTCATTTACTACATTTTTCAGTCTCTTTCCCCCCCAAAAAACCCCAAGGCTTTGGACCCTGAGGCAAATAAGTCTCTCAATACATATATTTTTCCCTGTCTCCTCCCAAAATATGAAATTAATTTTCCCAACCTGGACCATTTTTTTGTACCACTAATTTTTTTTAAGGTCCATATAAAGCCCCCATTGTGAAAACATCTGTGTCACTGCACACAGATGAGCAATAATTAGAATAATCACAGCTTGGTCAGATGGAGGTTTAAACTACTATTACACACACAAGAAGCAGAGGGAAAAAACATCCAGGCCAAAATAAAGAGATAAATAAAAATACAGAGTTAAATAAAAATGCAGAGTTAATGAGGGTGGGAAGGAGGGGAAAAGCTGCCTGGGAAGATTTTCACCATGTACCTGAAAGGGCCACATTCAAAATCTTCCATAAATTTACCTTCCCAAGGAATCTTTCACCAGCCATCATTTATGAGGGGAAGAATTGTTTTATGGGATTGTAGGAGCCACATTCCACCTCCAGGCTGGGTTGTGGTGACGAAAGTGTTGCTGAAAGCCCAAAAATCAACATACAGTTCCAAACATTCTTTAGGGCTGCTTTGAAGGGGATGGAGAGAAGTATCCGTGGAGCTGATGAAGAGATGGGAATGTCTCCTTTCCCCTGGAATATCTTCATTTTGGAGCAGGACTGGAGCCCACATGACCCTTCTACTGAAGGGACCCTGTGGTGGGTCTGGCCAGAACAGTTTGTGAGGTATCAAATTGTCCTAAAAGGGTCCAAGAAGTGTCAGATCCCTCCTTGTTGGATCCCAGTGGGATACAGGCAAAGAGGATCTTGGGAGGGAAGGGTAATATAAAGGAATAACAAATGTTTGTGCCCAGACTCACCGTCCCAAGAATTTATGGAAGATTTGAATGTGGCCCATGGGATGTCTTTTTGGGAAAGGACTGGTTAAATCCACACTGGGACACGTTAAATTTGGGATCCATGTAACAAAAATGAAAGGAAATTAAATATCCAGCTGTATTGTTTGATTGGAATTACATGGAAATAGGGGTGAGTCCATCTCTACCTGTGTCTCTAAAGTGTATCTGTATCCTTATCTGTATCTGTATCCTATTCCTGTTGTGGGAAAAGGCTTGGAAGCTCCTCAGGAGGTCTGAGGTCACCATTTGAAAAGCAAAACAACCTCTACACACATCCAGGAGTTTGGATTGAACCAGGGAACCAGGGGAAGGACAACCCTGCAGCCAGGGCTTTTAAAATTTTCTTTTTAAAAGTAAAGAAACTCTGTTATTTCTACTCTGAAATATCCTTATCTTCCACGGAGGACTCATGAAAACCTGTGGAAGTTTTTCTCTGAGTGTTCTCTTTGCTCCTTTATCCCCAGAACCTTTGTATTCTACTTCATCTCTCTTTTCCCATCTCTCTTGCTTTTTTTTTTTTTTTTTTTAGGATTCCCTGAGAGTTATGAGATCTTGTTTGGCAAAAAAAAGAAAAAAAAGGATGCACAGGTTAAACACAAAGGTTAAATATTTTTATTCTTTTTTTAGTGGAGGGACTGGGAATCTTCCTCAGCAAAGCAGGTGCTTTATGATTTGGTTTGGATGGATCATATATATCTATGGATGGACCATATATGTATATATGGACCATTCCAATCAAACATGTGACCATATATCCCAGGACTGGCAACGTGGAAATCCTAAGACCAGAAAATTTCAGTGCTCAGGAGTGAGGATACAACTCCAAGATATGTAGGTTAAATCCTGTGAAAAACTCTTAGTAGGAGAATTGGTCAGAATTGACATTTTATTTGCAATTTAAAGGTATTCGGGTCCTTAATTCCCACTGATTCCAGTATTTGTGGGAATCAGCATTATAAGGGAATAATAGCTGAGAATATCATACCTAAAGATATCTGACATGCTTAATTTTAGTGATATTAAAACAATAAGAGCCACAAAGTTACAGAATCTGACTGTTGTTGTTTACAATTGATACCATGAACATTTATTCCCCATGAGAAATCGCAGTCATGGAATGGTTTGGGCTGGAAGGGAATTTAAAGATCATTTAATTCCAACCTCCTGCCATGGGCAGGGACACTTCCCACTAGCCCAGGTTGCTCCAACCTGGCCTTGGACACTTCCAGGGACGGGGCAGCCACAGCTTCTCTGGGAATTCCATCCCAGTCCCTCCTCACCCTCCCAGCCAAGAATTCCTTCCCAATATCCCACCTATCCCTGCCCTCTGGCAGTGGGAAGCCATTCCCTGCGTCCTGTCCCTCCATCCCTTATCCCAAGTCCCTCTCCAGCTCTCCTGGAGCCCCTTTAGGCCCTGGAAGGAGCTCTCAGCTCTCCCTGGATCCTTCTCTTCTCCAGGTGAACATTCCCAGCTCTCTCCATTCGAACCTGAGGTTCTTCCCCCTGAGTCTGATGCTTCTCATTGCTGGAAAACACAGGAAAAACCTTCCAAGCCCTGAGAGCAATCCTCAGGAAAAAGAAAGAAACCTGGGAATTTCTGGGGAGTGGGAATTCAGGCAAAATTAGCCAGCAGCAGTTCTATGAAGCCTCCAGTTTGGAAAATGTCCAGGAGGAGCAAACAGAAGGAGGTGGGAGGTAGAAGAGATGAGAACATAATTTCCTCACGTCCTTCATCCTTCTTTGCTCTGTGTGGAAGAGATGAGAGATCAGTCCCTTATATGGTTAGAAATTGGAACCGTCTCCGCCGAGGAATTTAGAATTTTTGTGTATTTTTTACATTTATACTCGAGCTAAAGATGTGCAAAGTGGATTAAAATGTGCAAAATGTATTAAAACACCCCTTTTTCAGAGTCAAAAAGGTGTGAGCTCAAGTGGCATCTTTGGCTTCAAAGCCATGTGAAATTAAATGTTGTTTAATTAAATAATCATAAGATTATAATAATTAAATGTTATAATAATTAAATATTATAATAATTGATATATATTTATTTTGCTCCATAACTTCGTCATTTCTCATTTGCCTCCAACCCACCAAATTCAAATCCATTTTAAATTAAATGTTGTTTGATTAAATGATTATAATATTATGATAATTAAATATTATAATAATTGTATATTATAATAGCTAAATATTATAATAAATACATTATAACAATTAAAAAAGGTTTATTTTCCACAATAACGTCATCATTTCTTATTTACCTCCAACACAACAAATTCAAAACCATTTGAAATTAAATGCTGTTTAATGAAATGTTTATAACATTGTTATAATTAATATTACAATAATTAAAACTTGTTTATTTTGCTCCATAACTCCATCATTTCTCCGACACACCAAATTCAAAGTGACTTAATGAGACCTTCAGGCCCACAGAGATTCACTGCAGATAAATCTTATTTTCCGAAGGGGAAGGAAAATACAGAATTACTCCAAAAGAACCAATTCAATGAGCAAAATGTTGATAATTCCTGGACCATGGAATGTGGAAAAATCAACAAAACAGACACCAGCAATTATTTAATCATAATGTCTGGCAGAGATACCCACTGGGATATCAGCAATTATTTAACCACATCATGTGGAGAATCCACAGAATAAATCCAATAAATTCGACCTTGTTCAGGTATTTAAATGGAGTTTGTAGAGATTTGAGCGGGAAAAAAAGGCCAGTAGCAGTTGTTTAATCCAAGTGTCTGGAATATCAACCCAACTGGCAAATTGGCTTCAGGATTTGGAGGAGAAAGGAGGAAACCCCATCCCCCAGATCTCCCCGGAGCATGGAAACCTTGGATGTCAAACCAAACCCCAGTATAGGATTCTGAGCTCCTGGGAGCCCAGTTTTTGACCTGTCTGCAGAAAAGAAGGATTTTTGAGGGAGGCACGTGGAAAAGAACCAAATAAAGTCTGTGGTCATCCCAGAGAAATCACAAAAATGATGGGAAAAAAGTATCCTGCCTCAGAGATGGGGATAATCCAGAGCATGAGAGACGTGAAGTTCACTGCACTGGAATTCTGAGAGATATCCAAACCAGTCTGAGTGGAAGATGGCCAAGATAAAACAGCTCCCAAAGCAGAATTAAAATTGCATCAGCAATATTTTGGGCAGAATAATATTAAAAAATAAACCCTGCCAAAAATGTAGATTTCCACTAGAACTTATCTTGATTTCAGCGGAAGGAGGTTTTTAGTTTTTGTGGCTTCTGTATCAAAGCCAGGCTCAAATCTCCCCAAAAAGGGTGCAAAGAGGAGCAGGTGAGCACCCTGAGCTGCACTTATTAATTATGAAGAGGTTTTTATATTGTGGGGTTGAAAAACTGACAGAAAAACTGAAAGTGTGGATTAAATATCCTGACTACCTTAAAGACTTGTTGGGAACTGGAAGCAAATGGTTTAAAGGAAGAGATATTTAACTCATAAATGTTTAATTCACCAAAACACACCTCGGGTTGCAGCTATTGCAGAATTATAGAATGGTTTGGGTCGGAAGGGACCTTAAAAATCATTTAATCACCTATATTTGGAGGCTGTTCAAATCCCATTATGGGGAAAGTTTCCATGGAGAAAGATCTCCAAGGGATTTCTATTCCTGGCGTGGGATAAATGTGCCACGACCTGTGTCCCTGGAGCACCCACGAAATCAGTGACCTTGGGATATTGGGATGGAATTCCTGGCTGGGAGGGTGGGGAGGCCCTGGCACAGGTTACTCAGGGAAGCTGTGGCTGCCCCTGGATCCCTGGAAGTGTCCAAGGCCAGTTTGGAGCAACCTGGGCTAGTGGGAGGTGGCCCTGCCCATGGCAGGGGCTTGGAATGAGATGAACTTTATTTCCTATGTCCCCATAAAACCCCCAGCTATAATCTCAATATCTTTTTCTTTCTTTCTTTTTTTTTGACACAAAAGATGACCCTTCTTCTCCTTGAAATCAATAAAGTCTAAAATGAACAGGGGAAATCTCAGTATTTTCCATGGGAAAAGCCGAACCTCTTCCCAACCTCAGCAACAGAAACCTCCCGTGAATTCCTCCTCCAAGCCCAATGAATTCCCACTTCCTTCAGGAATGTTTCATCTCCTTTTCTTTCAGTATTTGATGTATGGAAGGCAAAGTCCCTCTTGGAAAAGCAGGAAAGGCCCCACATCCATGGGGCAGCTCAAAGCTGAAATATTTCCTCTGTGTGTAAAGAGATGCTCAACTCCTGGAAGGACAGAACGTGAGTCTCCTGTTATAAAACCCTGAGTGTTTCATAACTCTTCTGATAATCTCAGTCTGAGGCTACTTGGAGTCCTCTTTCCCTTCCCTGGCCAGAATTAGCATGTGAGTAATAATAGGAAATAGAGAATTTTGGACCCGGCCGTGGAGGAAACTCAGCAGAACTTTCACCGGAGCAAAGAGGAGTCGTTCAAAAAGAGACACTGCTCTGAGTGCCAAGAGATCCTTCCCCTCTGGCTCCACCACCACTGATTTGGCAATTCCCCAGCTGAGGAGACTCCAAATGAGCCTTAGTGCTGTTTGATCATCAGCAAATTTGCAGATGACACCAAACTGGGGGGGAGTGTCCATCAGCTGGAGGGCAGGAGGGCTCTGCAGAGGGACCAGGACAGGTTGGATCCATGGGCTGATTCCAACGGGATGAGGTTCAACCAGGCCAAGGGCCGGGTCCTGCACTTTGGCCACAACAACCCCCGGCAGCTCCAGGCTGGGCCAGAGGGGCTGGAGAGCAGCCAGGCAGGAAGGGAGCTGGGAGTGGGGATGGACAGGGAGCTGAACAGGAGCCAGAGTGTGCCCAGGGGGACAAGAGGGCCAATGGATCCTGGCCTGGCTCAGGAACAGTGTGGCCAACAGGGCCAAGGAAGTGATTCTGCCCCTGGACTCAGCGCTGGTGAGGCCACCCCTGGAGTGCTGTGTCCAGTTCTGGGCCCTCAGCTCAGGAAGGACACTGAGGGGCTGGAGCAGGTCCAGAGAAGAGCAACAAGGCTGGGGAAGGGACTGGAGCACAATTCCCATGAGGAGAGGCTGAGGGAGCTGGGGCTGTTCAGCCTGGAGAAGAGGA